TCAAAGCCCACTCCGTCTTCTTTCAACTGGTAGTCTATAAGAGTAACCAGTAAGGTTTCGCGTGATTCACACTGGCATCCGGTTAGGTGGAAGCGAGACTTCCATTTCAGCTTGTATAGCCATTTGTCTTGGAAATTCTCCCGACTCAACTTCGGCGGAAGCTTATCACTGATGTAGATAAGGGCACAATTAGACCGTATAGGGCCAGTGCTGCTGGGCGACGGAAGTGGAAAACATTTTATGAAGGAGATAGCCGTTATCTCTGTAAGCCTAGAGAAGCATCAAGTGACTTTTACGGACACTCGCAATATTCATGGTCAAAGGAAGGGCCCGCGTCTCCGTATTCCTCAGGTAACAAACTTGCGCCACCGGATAAAAAAGGTTCTTTGAAACGCTGTGAAGTCACAGAGGAAAGGCGAATACGTGGCGTATTCTAGACATCGTTCTTGCGTGTGAGTGTCGGTTATTGAGCGACTTCACGAGCTTTTGTGCTGTCCATCACTTGTCATTGTGTATATGCATAGCTGCACCTTTGTTACAAAGGTTAATATGTCATCTGATTAATCGTTTCCGGCGGTACCGTCAGAGTCAGGAGCCACTTGAACGTCTAACCGACTGTCGTGTTTGTTCTCGGTGGTTTTTTTGTTGTTTGTTGTTACCGAAGTGGGTCGGATTACCTACAGGGAAGAGCTATCCGGTGATCAACAAAACAAATATGCCCTGTACATCGTGTAGCCGAACACCACGACATAGTATTGGCGTTCTAGGGATTAGTAAATAATAACTAGGACCTTCTTAGATTACATGGACCAACACTGGATAAATTGGACCGAATATGACGCCGATCAATCAGTTCAATAACCAAAAATGAAGACAGGGGCATGCAGAAGTTATTAAAAATAAAATTAAATTAAAAATCATAATGACATGACAATTCACGGTTCCCTGGCCCCCAAGCCCACTACTTTCGGGGAATAAGACAGGAATATCCAGTGCCTGAATGTTTGAGGCCGAGAAAAGATGGCTGCAAAACGAAATTGAGCGAAACATTTTTCTGAACCCCACACAGACCTCATTCTTGGCGCAAACTCGTTGCTATCTTGTACTGAACGAGAACCCAGTACAGGAACCAGGTTCCTACAGTGTTCCTTAGATGGAATAAAATGCAGTGGACGCAGAACCTTGCGGAGTATCAGGATCAAGTCACCGTATAGTTTTCTTTTCAGAATATCCTGTGAGTTAGGTATAAATTATTAGTACAAATAGAGACAAAAACGGTAGCAGTTGGAAGGGAGGTTTGACTCAGAAATGCAAAGGAAACTCGGCCAAGCCAGCTGTTAATTGATTAACTACGTCCATTAATTAAATTCAAACATTTTCCCAGTAGACAGAACACTATCTTAGCCGGTGCTAAGTGGGGGGGAGGGGACGCGGCGCGGCATCCTGCGTCTCTCCAGCGAGACAGTAGAGAAGGAAGAGAAGTCGAGCCCGTAACGGTGCTTAGGGGCGTTTCATAGCTTTTTTCTGTTATAGCTTTGTTCTTTTCACCTAATTTTGGGAAGGGGGGGGGGAGAGGTGGGCTCGGGGTGGAAGAGCCAATTAGACGTTCAACTTTAATCTTATTTCAGCTTTTTGCACGAAATAACCATCGCACCCACCCCAGCCCCTCCCCTTCCTAAAAAGAGGGGTTTTATCGGCTCAGAAGAAGAGTATCTATAGTATGGAAGCATA